CAATCCACCGAAACGAAGTCGATCAAGAAGTCAACTGAAGTGGATAATCCAACCGAACTCTTGAAGGCGAAACCCATGATTATGCCGTTGAACTCCCATTGTGGACCGACCGAGGTCCGGCTAGTCGATGATTCACCTCCACCTGCCAGTGTGGACGAGTACGGTAATCCTGCCGATACTGAAACCAAGCTGACAAGTACGATTGAAGATGAGGTTCCAACCGAAGCTGACTATGTTAAGCTCAACTCTGCGTGCAAGCCAAATTATCTTCCTCGTGGATTGACAGAGGACCGTTACGTCGAGAATTCAGCCAAGTTCGTAGAAGTCAAGCCTAATAACATGGCAAGTGAACCAACCGAGTGCCATGTCAATAAGGACTCACCTCAAGTCATGGATGTAAAACCGAAACGGTTTAAACATCCCGAAACAACCGAAGTCAATCCGAAGCTATTCCAAGACGACTTTCAAGCCATCGAACCGAAGTCCGTCGCAGCTGGTGAAGTTCCGAAAACAATCCTAACCTCGACTGGAACCAGACCGATCTTGAATTGTATCCCCGTCGGAAACCATCCGGTGTTGATGTCTTACCCGATGTCTACCGGAATCCTTCCAGTAATCAAGCCATTCCTGAGGGCCGCCAGAACCTATCCGGTGGTCCAACCGTCCCCGATGTCTGCTGGAATCCGTCCGGTGGTCAAGTCATTCTCGATGTCTGCCGAAACCAATTCGGTGGTCAAGCCATTCTCGATGTCTGCCGAAACCAATTCGGTGGTCAAGCCATTCCAGATGTCCGCCGCAATCCAGCCGGTGGTTAAGCTCTTCGTGATGTCTACCGGAATCCGTCCGGTGGTCAAGCCATTATCGATGTCCGCCGAAACCAATTCGGTGGTCAAGCCATTCTCGATGTCCGCCGAAACCAATTCGGTGGTCAAGCCATTCCAGATGTCCGCCGCAATCCAGCCGGTGGCCAAGCCGTTCCTGATCTCCACCGGAATCCAGCCTGTGATCAAGCCCTTCCTGATGTCTGCCGCAATCAATCCGGTGGTCAAACCGTTGTCGATGTCCGCCGGAACCAATCCGGTGGTCAAACCGTTCTCGATGTCCACCGAAACCAATTCAGTGGCCAAGCCGTTGCTGATCTCTGCCGGAATCCAGCCTGCGATCAAGCCTTTCCTGATGTCCACCGGGACCAATCCGGTGGTCAAACCGTTCTCGATGTCCACCGAAACCAATTCAGTGGCCAAGCCGCTCCTGATCTCTACCGGAATCCAGCCTGCAATCAAGCCTTTCCTGATGTCCACCGGAACCAATCCGGTGGTCAAACCGTTCTCGATGTCCACCGAAACCAATTCAGTGGTCAAGCCGTTCCTGATCTCTGCCGGAATCCAGCCTGCGATCAAGCCTTTCCTGATGTCCGCCGGAACCAATGCGGTGGTCAAACCGTTCTTGATGTCCACTGCAACCTGTCCGGTGGTCAAGCCATTAATGATATCCACTGGAACCCGTCCGGTCACCAAGCCGTTCCTGATGTCCGCCGGAATCAAAGCGGTAATCAAGCCTTTCCTGATGTCCACCGGAACCCGTCCGGTGTTCAAGCCGTTTCAAATGTCTACTGGAACCCGTCTGGTGGTCACGACCTTCATGATGTCCACTGGAACTCGTCCGGTGTCCAAGCAATTCCCGATGACCCTTAGAATTCATCAGGTAAACAAGCCGTTTCTGATGTCCCCTGGAAACCATCCGGTGAACAAGCCGTTACCGATGTCAACAGGAGACCATTCGGTGTTGTATTTTCCGATGCCAACTCGAAATCATCAGGTGCTAAAGCTATTCCCGATGTCTGCCGGAACCCGGCCCGTGTTCAAGATGTTTCCGATGTCTACTGGAAACCGTTCGGTATTCATGCGGTACCCGAAACCAATGGAAAAGTATCCGGTGTTCAAGCGGTTTCTGATGCCAACCGAAAACTGTCCGATGTTCAAGCCGGTCCCGATGTCAGCTGGAATTCACTCAAGGCCAGTTCTGGAGCCAAGTGCACTCGTTCCGTTACCGACGTCTGAGAAACAACAAATAAGAGATCCACCAGACAAGCCAAGCTCAGCTAATCCTGTACCGAAGATGCCCTATCCTGATTCCAATGATATCGTTCCAATACCAAGGCCTGAGGAGCCACCGCCACAGGATCTTTCTATTCGACATCGAGCCAGCAAGCTCAGACTGAAAACACTACTTTGCGCCGCTCACCTGCTAACCCGGTTAGTACAGAAGGTATTACCAGTCCTGGATATGGAGTTCCGAGAAATTGTGCTATGGTGCGAAAGTACGATAGTGCTGGCCTGGATCAACAAACCGCTCAACCAACTACAGTCATTCGGAAGAAACCGAAACGCTGTGATCCAGAAACAAACTGATATCGTGTCTTGGTGGAGTGGTTCTGAGTTCCTCCAGAGAGAAAGGTACAACATCGAACTACCCGAAAATGTTCCAGACCAGATGCTACCTGCACTGAAAGCAGTTATCGTCAACCTAGATGACCCAGTCGACCTGAAGAAAAAGCAGCTCTTAATCATCCCGCAACCACGCCAGGCAACCGAAACTATCACCCAAGTGGTTCAGTTTGTCCATTTGGCGGAAGACATTCAGCGAGTTGTTACCCACGACCCTTGCAAGAAATTGGCAAACCTGCATCCGATCTACACTGATGGCCTGGAAGCGTTATACGATCTGAGCACCGATGCCTTCCTGGCATTCTTCAAGCGTTTCATTGAACAACGAGGTAGCAGCAGCAGCATTCGGATAATTGTACTATTTTCCAAAGTACCCACCCAGAAATTATCCTACTACACAGGAAGAAGAACCTACGAACCATGCCGATCATCCGTGAAACCCTGATACCGACACCCAATCCGCAATTCTAGACAATCGTTGTTAATCGTTGAGTTACCTCAACCGGGGGAGTATGTTCCGTCTCCGCCGAAAGTCAACTGATACGAACACGACCAACAAGCAGCGAAGAACGAGACCATCAATAGGCTACAACATCCACCAATCAGCGACGACCACATCAACGCTCGCCGCTTTAAAAGAGGCATGCATCACCGTGCAAAACAAGAGTTCTTTTCCGACCAAGCACCAGCAAACATCAGCAGCAGTAGAAGCAGAATTTGTAGAGAGAAAGAGGAGAGAATAAACAGTTGTTAGCGTAGCCGTCCCGATCAAGTTTATTTTGCAAACATCCCTGGTTTGGAGCAGCGTCGAACCCACCAGCTCTTTTCAGAGCCCTTACGAGTTGATTTCCGATCGACGCTTGCTTCCTCCACCATCCTGCCGATACAGTCCACTACCGAAAGGGAAAGTTCCCTCCCAGTCCGAACACCATTGGTAAGTGTCGCGTTTGTCAGGTCGATTATTAATGGTGCTTATATGGTTCCATGCGTTGAATACCCAAGAGTGTGGAATCAAGAAATCAATAAAAAAATGTGGCATCACCCAACTATATCATTTTAGGTATAGGGTAGATGTACCGATTATGTCCATATGTTTCTATTGTGGTATGTTCCAATTATAGCCTACGCACTTAGAAATTATTACCGACTTTGGTACTTTCAACAGCTTTCAAAAGCTGATTCACAAAATTTTAATTTCAAAACACTGTCAGCCTTGTTTAAATAATCGAGTCTTGCCATTGTGGTGAAGTTTTCTTTGTTTTGAAGCATAAAAACTAATGAATGAAAATACCTGATTTTTACCAAACAGTGTTCAGCTGTTGATAGTTCGGTAAAAATGACCGAAGTCGATAATCATTTCTGAGTGTGTATGGAAATCCCACATGTCATAATAGGAACATACCATAATAGAAACGTACACACTTATTTTTTGCCGATATTCCAACAGCCGAGTACTTCTGAAATTTTTTACTGGGATTCAGTAAAACAATTGCCGAGACAAACAGATATTTTGCAGAGATATCAGCAAAAGTAAATGCCGAGGCTATACCCTATAGAGGCTGTTCATAAACCACGTAGATATTGCTGATTGCATCTGAAACTGGACTATCCCAAAAATGCAAAAAAGTGTGATAAAAGTGCACGTTTCCGTCAAATCGTTTTGATGTCTTCGGAGCACTTATTGCTTGCATCATAAGGAATAAGTGCACTGAAGACAGCAAGACGATTAGACGTAAACTTGCAATTTTATCACGTTTTTTAATAAGTGAAAACGCGCTTATTAGTCCAATTTGGTGTGAAATGCGCAATACTGGAGGAGGGAGTAGAGATTGCCTGCCCATACAAATTAAAAAAAATGTATAAACGATAGTCTACGCGGGGAAGGGAGTCTAAAATTTATCAAAATCGATCTACGTAGTTTAATAATAGCCCCATATGATATAATAATTGCAAATGCCGAGCAACTTAAAAAGCAAAAATTGGCTCATGCAGCTAATTTTGCATATACTGTGCTGTACTGTAGCTAAAATTGTTTATTGAGTGGTGCTACATTTTTCAGTGTTTTTCCAAATAAAAATATAATAACTCAATACATAATGTTCCTTTAATAAATCGTCCGCAGATAATAGAAACCATAACTTTTGCAAACATAATATACACACACAAAACTTCCCATTATTCTAGATTACAGAGTAAATGACGGCTTCGCCAATACCTTTAACTGTTATCGTCAGGGGATACAAGTAGTACTTGCTCGTTGAATTTAATTTTTGCATGAGGATGCATCATGTGAAATTTATCGCCAAGGACTATGTCGATAATAGGTAATTGCCGAAGCCGTCATTTACCCTACATAAAATTGCGTATTACTTCGACCCTATTAGAAAAGTTTACAATATTCATCCACGTGTAGTCCACGGTCGCCATGTCAACCCACCAGCCACCGTAATATACCCACGACAACCAAACACACTTCGTTATGAATGAGTAAATAAACCACGATGCAAAGCGTGAAGATACTATACTCGAAAGACTATACATGTACACACTCACTAGTAACATCAATTAACTTCTGCAGGTAAGCAATCTTCGCATCTCGATCCTTGATGTTATCAGAAACCAGTTCTTCCGACGTGAATAAACCCTTCAAAAACTCAGTGTCCTTGATGACCTAGAAATAGAAGCAAAAACACGCAGTCACAACAATCTATGTGGAATTCCTTGACTCATCTAATAATATCAATAACAGGCATGTAACAGCGACAAAATACAACCAAAAAAAACGGTCACGAACAGGTGTGAAGTGAACCCTACACGATTGCTTTTATTGACAATAATCGTATTGTCAATACATGCTATATTGACGTCAATATATCGAGATTGACAATATTTCTGAATTCACATCATCAATATTATTGTCAATAATTCCCCTTCGTGTCAATATATTGATACGTGTGGGGTTTGCTTGAGATTTGAACATTTTTCAATCAATATTTTGCTTCATTGCATGCCTCTAGAAAATTTTCACTCTCACAGTCCACTACTGACCACATTGATGACGTCGTGGAGAAATCGAAACGGAGGTTTCTTAAGTAGCTTGTCCGTAAGGGCCGGCTTTTTCACGTATTTCCCCAACACGTTTTGGGTCTTCTTTATAATGGCAGGATCTGGGTCACCCATTCTGATATCCTCGATTTTAGATGTCTCGACGTGTTTAAAGTACTAAACGTCACTCCTTCTATGTATATTCACGCATTTCGTTTAATTTAACCAAATTCTGGTTCACTTTTACGGATATTTAAGCGAATTGTTACAAGCGAAGTGGTTGCGATTGTAGAACTGTGAGTTGTAAACTTGAGGTTTTCAGACTGCTCGAGGCCAACACAAAAGGAAAATATGAATCCTTGTTGTAGACCAACGGTTACCAGGGAAACGTCCTGTGCTTTCGAACATTGCATCGAGGCTTTCGTAAAGTGATTAGGTACATTTCGAGGCCGCGTTCGAGCGTGCTTTTTATATCACTTGCATACATGCAGCTAAATATATCTGTGAGCCAAAAATAGACCTCATCTTTTCCACCAATCATTATCCAGATGAGTTTGAGTCTACGCAGAAAACTCTGAGTAGCATTAGCTTCGTACAATTAGGGGAAAGTTGGGGGGTGTTCGCGGTATCATCCAAACCATTTTTGGGATAGTTTACCCATGCGGGATACAGTTCGTTTATGGTATGGTACGTTTAACGCACGCACACTAGCAAGAGCAACGCCGTGTAAAGTTGTTGATTATTTTCCTCTGACTTATCTAGATAGAACTGGAATTAGGGCGTCACAGCTTTTGTAAACAATGACTTCTATCGATGATTTCTAGGAACTCAAGGCACGCCCACGCAGCCCAACATAACCATCGGATAGTAGAAGTCTTTCCCTACCCGATGAGGATGTTGGTTTGCGTGGGCGGGCCTTGGATTTCTAGAAAATTTTCTTAGTTAATTAACCAAATAAGATCAATTAATAAATCGAGTTAGAATATTGTTTTTGATTCCAAAAACTAGTTGAATTTGAGAAGCACACGAAACATAAAGGTGATTGAATTTCTGTTCGATTGCAATACTCTTAAATTTAATCTAATAAGAACAGGCTTGCAATTGCTCATTACAGCTAAAATGCTAGTTTTCGTAATTATGAAACTATGGGATACTATAATGATAATTTTTATTTGTAAGAAGCAAGAAGAGGTGGTAAAGTTTGTGTATGACATATAAAATTTGTCAATTCAGTGCCAACATTTCAAAGGGGCGTAATTGCTTTTGTAAACAATGACTTTAGCCATCAATTTCTCGCGAATGAAATCTTACCTCTTCAAAATAACAATGCTAGCTGGTAGAGGAAACATTCCTCTACCTAATGGTGTCATTATTTTTCATGAGTGAGCTTTTATTCGCGAGAAATCGATGGCTAAAGCCATTGTTTACAAATGCAATTACGCCTCTTTGAAATGTTGGCACTGAATTTTGCTTTCAGAAGGTCACAACTAACGATTTTATGATCGCTGATTGCTCGCTCATCGCGTTGCAGCTAATCGCTATTATTATTAATTGACAGGTTTAATGTGTCATACACACACTTTACCTTCTTTTCTTGCATCTTGTAAATAAGAATAATTATTAGCATTAAAATATCTCATATAAATCCGAAAATAGCATTTTAGCTGTAATGAGCATTTGCAAGCTTGAATAAGAATAAGGAATCCTCGGATAAAATCTAATGGGAATGTTGGATTGGCTCAGATTTTGGCTCAAAACATTCTCTCCGCCCATCTCTCCTATGAGTATTTCTAACAGGGACGATGCTATTAATACAAAAGTGCTGAGATTTGTATCGATTTTTTTTTTTATAAAAATAAATCAGATCAACTTGGCTTGTTCAAGAGTTATTAGGTTTGTTCTCGCTCTTGCAGTTTAACCATGACTTATACTAATACTGTTACTTTCTTTCTGCTGAATAACCAGTATTCCGGTCAGTTAAGACAAACTGTTTTATTTTAAAAATTGTAGTACACAATTAACTAAGGTCGCCCGCCATTCACCGTTCACTGAATACTTTTTATCATAAGCTTGCGAGTTCAGTGAGCGGTGGATACTGACCTAACGGTATATGCGATAAAGAATTTTACAGACCACTTGCAGTAGATCCGATTGTTTTCGATACAGATATTCAGTATATTACGATGTAGGTATAAACATAGGAATGCAAAAATTTAATAATTTGCAGGTCTAATATTCAGTGGCTAAGTTTGATGTACAATAAACCGACCAGTATGACCGCTTCCATCACAATGATCATTATAAGAATCAGCTTATTGTACAGCACATTTCTTTGCATGGCTCTCAGAATGGAACTCGATTTCGACAAACCATCGTTGGCATTTTCCAGCCGCCGTTGGCTTCGCAGTAACGATTCTCGTTGAACCTCCAGTTCGGAAATCACCTGTTGAGATTTTATCTACTGTAAAAAGATCAAATTAACTCAATTCCGAAGCTACTGACCTCATGACCCGTCTGTTCGGTTTCGATGGCAATCTGGTTCGATCGGGCTAGGCTAGCGGATGTCCGTTCGAGAATCTGACGCCCTTCCAGAACCTGCCTGCGATTATGCTCGTTCCAGTCGAAGTCTCCCATTTTTTATACTGATCAACGAGTATTTAGACTTGAAGAGAAACGAAGTTATTTCTGTATCGAAATCGACAAAATTTAATGATAACTTTTTACGCTAAACAAAGAAACAGATAGGTACCTAAAAGATTAAAAATAATATTTACTTGACTTTTCGCATCAACCCAAAATAAACAAAACTGACTTTTGCTATAGCGTTGTTCACCGACAGAAACTTATTCGTTTTCATATCAATACCAATAATTGAAAAGGACCTTAGTCTGAAATGTAAACAAATCGTTTTATAGCATCCCTAATAAAAATTGTATGGTTAATTTGCTTAACGACGTGTTCTGGGTATCATCCAAACCATTTGTGGAATAGTTAAATGATTTGGGTTATCGTTCGTTTATGGTTATTTTTTATTAGGGATTACACAGAGAAAAAAAGTTGTTGAATATTGCTGCAACCAGGTCAATCCATCGGTTGTGTACACTCAAAGGATTTTCAAATCTAAATAGATTAAAAGTTACGCTAAATCGCAACTCTCCTCGCATAGCTTGGTATAAAGAGAGAGAATACTAACTTAGTATAAAACTGGTTTATACATTGGATAGTATAAAATTGAGGTATTCTTCATATGTATATTATGCGATTATTCGCCAGATTCGATTATTTTTCAGTTTCATGTGGTTTGTTATGATTGAAAAACATAAACAAAAAGCTGGAGAGAGTGAACCGTATGGAGATACGTTTTTATTTTACACAGATCATCCGGTTCAGTATTTTTCGCTTCATCGATTTTGTGGCGACGGCAGTTCGGCTCGCAGCTCGGTTCCCTCCAGTATGATCGCAGCTGGCGGATGTCGATGGAAGTCCGAAAATACCTGATAATAATTAAACATTTTGAATTAGACTCACCACCGTACCATAGAATATTCTCACCTTTCTCGATTCCCTCACCGGAACTCTTTTTTGTTCTCGATATCCCCATGATCAGCGGCAAAAGCATGAAATCCCACAGCGACAGTGATTCACTCCAAAGCAATGATGAATGACCAATGTTCTGCAAAATACTCGTACCTAATACATTCGATGATCTTTTCTGTAGATAGCCATGCATCAGCATCTAAAATTATGGTGCTGCATTCAAATAATATTTTACAAACACCTACTGCAGTTTTTTTTTCCACATGAAGCTCAGATGAAAATACATGTTTGAGGCGGTTTATGTCGATTATTGACAAGAACTAAACAGAGAAACAAATTTCTATGCATAATCATGAACTTTGACATGTTATTCATACTCATGCATAAAAACAAACCTTTAATAGATTACTTTTTAATCAAAGCTATGAATAAACAAAGCTAAATAAAATAATGAATAAATTTTAATCTATTTTAGATTAGTAATATTTTTGAGTGTAATATATAACGTTGTACGATGTACATCGATTTTGCGAACAAAATTACATCCATTGATGTAATATTGTATCTATCTGCTTTTTGATATTACATCATTATTTCATACATCAGCTTGAATTACATTGATCGATATTAATTTTTTTTTTGCTGTGTATTCGATGGATCATGACGGGACTTGACAAACGGGTAGCGATTTAGAGCAAATTTTCTATCAAACCCGCGCCAGTTGCTGATTGGTCGATTTGCCATTAGCAATCGTGGAATAAACAGTAATCTGACTGGTAGTTATGCCAGAATTATTGTTGACGTCAATGGTGTTGTTAATTATTTACATTTGCAAAAGGAAAGTTGAAAAATTGAGTGCATTGCGTGTTTTCACCGATTGATATTGTTGTCTCTTTATGGCTCGCTTTATGGTTGTTTTATTGTGATGATAAAAACGGATATACATGGAGCTAAACCACCGACGAACCGACATGCCACAGGAGCATTTCGTTTGTCCACAATTAGAATTGTCAAATTATACGTGGGTTTATGTCCTTGTTCATGGTATGACGCGATCGGATGAGTAGATGTCGGTAGTGTTTAACGCATTTTAAATATGACGTCTTGGGAACGAATTTGAAAGTAGCTTGTTTAAGCTGTCACGTCTGTTCGTCGGTGAATAAACTGTGGTAGAAACTCCGAATCAAACCCAAATTTAAATATAAAAAACATTCTGCAATCCTGGCATCATAACTCTTAACTCCGTCAAACCCGAGGTCAAACCACCGACAAACCGGCATGAATGATCATACAAATTACAAAGAAATTTCTGATCAAAGCACAAAACTGACATCTGCCGTCGTGTTCGCGGAAAATATTTATCCTACCCACGTACAAAATTTATGACTTGGTTCGTGTCTAATCTATTTCGGACAAATTATTTTTATCTAGAAAAAACATTTCTATGGTTTTGCCAGATGGGATCGCTGCACATTTGAATCGGCCGTTGTGGATTCTCGATCAAGAGTTAAGTTTAAGTTTCATGTCGGTTTGTCGGTGGTCAGACACCACGCACTAATATTCGAAGGGCTTTCATCAAAACCACTAATAAGGCTCTGAACCATTTGGCGAATTATTTTAACTTTTGGTTAAAATTTGACAGATGGAAAGTTATCGATTAACCCTGCTATCCGAGCGTGGTTACTTCTGACAGACAAGAAGTTAAATTTTGACAACTGTGGCTCGAAAACTGGTCGATCGACAGCACGGGGATTTTCGAACATAGAAAATAACTTTCGAAATGTCACTTTTAACCACGAGTTAAATTTAACTCGGCAAATTGTTCACAGCCTAAGAGTGAGAAGCTCGATTGTCAAGTCCCGTCCCGGGTTTTGCCTCGGCTTAACCACCCCCTTTTTTACTGTAAATTTCTCAACTACAATGATTTTCGTTGTGAACCATGAATTGTGTTGTGATTTTATGGTAATGGACAAAAATGTCCAATGCTTTGACAGTAAATATCATGGTTACAATGACAATGAAAATCATCGTATTTTTATTGGATTTTTTTACGGATACCCTTCTGACATGTTTCCCCTGAAGTATTAGCATAGAGGTAACAGTGCAGAACTTTGGGTAAATTTAAAGGTTTTCTTGCACTAAACTTATTATTTACCCCGAGTTCTGCACTAAACTTGTGCATTTCACAAACGTCAGAGAAATCTATAGTTTTTTCTGACGTTTAGGAAATGCATACACGGAGAACCAAAACTACCCAACGGTTGAGTTCTATAAACTTACTTTTGAGTTGATATCTCTCACTTGCTCTCTTTTTGTTGTCAAAAACGAAAAGAGCAAAAGAATCCAAAATTGAGTTCTAATCACCCAACTCGACAGTCCCGTGCGCCAAGTTAAAATTGAGTAAGATGTGTAAAACTTAATTTTGAGTAATTTGAACTTGACCTTGAGTGAAAACAACTTAGAAGTAAGTAATCCTCTTTACATACGAGTGAATGAAAACCACTCAAAATTGAGTAAGCGAACCAACAATCAATACGAAACTAACGATTTTAAATTGGCTCACTACTTGACTAGCCTATTGGTCCCAAGCAAACGATTAACTTACCCCATTCTAGTCGAAATTCTAGTACTACGCAATGTTTGTTTTGATTCGCTATGAAAGTTTGACAGATAAAATGAGGGGTTATTGGTTTTTCCTATGTTTCGAGGGGTGAATCGATTAGCTTGGGACCGAAGATAGTACCAGAGCTGAGTCAAAAAGTTGAGCACGTTTCTTCGGGACCTACTAGTCTTAGAGTTACCTCTATGCTAGAACTCTAAATTGAGTTGGCACACGGAACTGCCAACCTGGGTGAAAAGAACTCAAAATTAGGTACTCTTTTTCTTTCCGTGCAGGTGTGAGCTAGGGTTGGGCGAACTTGGATCGATTTTTTTCATCCCGATTTTTCAGATCGATCCTTGTCCATGAAAATAGATCTCTTCTTTCGATCTTGAAAAAAAGTAGGTGGTGAATTTTTAAAGTGTATTTACATCGAAAAACGATTTACTCTTACCACAGACTACGTAATAAATTTAACAAACATACCGTCAACATCAGCATCGCTCCATACAATGACGTCCTTGTTTGCGTTTCCGATATTTACGAATACAGTAACATTTGAAGGTTTGTATTACCTCCCTCCTGTTCTCATTGCTGCTTACCATCACAACAACATTTGATTGAACATTATAAAGGAAAGAATTTCTTGGGGTACCAACGTAAACAAGCGTATTAAAATTAAAATCAAAATATTGATCTTCCATCTAAAGATTGATTCTTTGGTACCGATTTAATCAGTGGGTCGATTCTAGAGCCAAAAATAAGATCGATCTTTCTCTGAAGATCGCCCAATCCTAGTGTTAACTCAATTAGGTTTTGCACCGTCGGGGTTAACCTCAATCTGATGACAGTTTAGTGGTACTGTTTACGTGGACTTAGCCGATTTTTTCTTGGGTGGATTTTCTCGATAGTTTTTCAGACTGCAGTGAGATGTAAACCACATTTCTGCAATGTTCACGAGCAACATCCTTGCAATGCGCTGTTCCTCGACAATTTTCAAGTTAAAATTCGGAAATTTTAGAATTTTTTTTTTTCGAAAAAACGACTAAGTGCTCGTAAACAGTACCACTGAACTGTCAAAAAGGTTCAGCCGATTAACACTGAGTTCATTCGTGACGTCACGCTGCAGAACCTAATGACGGAGTGTATATGGTGATACAGCTTTGTCACTACACTGAACGAATTTGACATATTCCTGTTATGTGGAAGTCTAATAAATTTGCGCTATAAGATAATCCATTGAAAATGATATGATTGACAATGTGTCAGGTAAATTCTATATGAATATCTGATACATTTACAATGCTGATAATTTGGTAACTTTTATATGATCGTCATATGATAAATGAAAATCGATCAAATTATAATAATTAACTGAAATGGATTTGAAACCCATAAGCATAAGCTATACTTTTCACCACAATATAATATATGTGTCATAAATCAATCGAAGTAAAGTTTATGTGAAAATAACATGAAATTTACTTCTTCTTTTGACACATATATTTAATCGATTTCTAAAAATAAATTCGAAAAATAAACATCAGGCAGTGGGAGCTTTCACAGTTGTGCCTTTTTTTTATTGTAGCTGATTTGGGATTCGATCAAGATCTGTTGAGGTGTGATGCTTTCGGTGTCTGTGCTCGATTCCACTGATGGGCCACGGCTGACTTCAAGATTGAGCTCGTTCAAATAGCATGAAGTAAGAACAGCTCTCCCGACATGGAATGCAGTGCAACCATAGAGGTAACTCTAAGACCACTGGGTCCCGAAGAAAATCATTATTATTTTTGGCTCACTCAGTACCAGAACAACGGTCCCAAGCAGTCCCAAGCTATTTCACTCACCCCTGCATGTTCTGCATGAATCCACACACCCCTGATGTTATCTGTCAAACTTTCATAGCGAATCAAAACAAACATAGTGTAGTAATAGAATTTCAACTAGAATAGGGTACGTTAATCGTTTGCTTGGGACCAATAGGCTACTAAAGTGGTGAGCCAATTTAAAATCGTTAGTTTCGTATTGATTGTTGGTGCAACGTTATGCTCGTTTTGCTAGAGTGAAGACAAATAGCACTGACAAATTTATGTTCCGTTTCGGTGGTGTGGTTTGTTCAAATCTTTCTTAACGCACCTGTGTGCAATAAATCAACGACTAAATTATATGATTTGATAGAACTGGCTCATGAAGTTTGAATACTACTTAGGACTGGAATCTGAATTAGCCGTGTAGAAAGCTTACAATTAGAATCATAGCAAAGTAAATATTACAGTAGAATCATTTTTTTTTCAATCTCAATACATTCTTTTCTGGAACCAATTATCATATGAAACAATAACAAACAAAGATTATTCAATACAGTATCATTGTTGTTAGTAGTATCAACAATCAATACGAAACTAACGATTTTAAATTGGCTCACCACTTTAGTAGCCTATTGGTCCCAAGCAAACGATTAAAGTACCCTATTCTAGTCGAAATTCTAGTACTACGCAATGTTTGTTTTGATTCGCTATGAAAGTTTGACAGATAAAATGAGGGGTTATTGGTTTTTCCTATGTTTCGAGGGGTGAATCGATTAGCTTGGGACCGAAGAGAGTACCAGAGCTGAGCCAAAAAGTTGAACACGTTATTTCGGGACCTTCTAGTCTTAGAGTTACCTCTATGGTAGTATTTACACACAAAAAACAAAAATTGTTTTAATAAAAATAATGCCATTTCAAATTAAAAGTTTCGTAAATTTCGTCATTTTAACAACGAAAAAATTCAAAATAAAAATTATTTTTTTGGTTTGAAAGTGTTTCTTTCAGGTTCGACTTGTAATTTTAAAAGTGCATTTTTTTTTTTAAATGAAAGTTGTTCAACTGTCAAAAATACATTTTCTAGGAAAAGTTTTTGGCAGCACTGGACCTCGGTTTGCCGCTTAATTTGGCTTGACGTCAGAAGTGTCACGAAGAGCGAGGAAAATTTGGGAAGGACAATTTTCCTCCGTGAAAAATAATAATCGCATCAGGTAAGCGATCAAATAACAATAGTAGAGTTTAATTAGAGATTTTTATTAATTCCAGATAAAACGAAACAATATTCATCTGCGAGCGGACAAGATGGCTCGGAATGCAAGTGAGTGTTCGACGACTACTACAACAGTAGATGTTAAAGGTATATAACAATATATTTAATATTCCACAGAAACCCTCACCGAAAACGATCTAATCGACACCTTCCTTCCGCTATCCGCTGCCGTTAAATCTCCACCGGTATACAATCACGCTGCTAACAATGCTGGAGGTTGTCTTCTGTCCTCAACCCTGCATCTGTGACATCACCATGTACCTGTTACTGTAGCAGGTTTACTCAAAGCAAGAATAACTCCAAGACGCAATAACGTAAACATCAACAAAGATAACAATAACAATGTAAAAAAATATTGTTGGATCTTATTATCTTATTGAAAAATAATAATAAAGAATATTTAATACTTATCCACTAAAATAAAAACCAGAATATTTTTTTTTTTTATTATTTTAATTTAAATTCAAAAGGCCCATTTAATTTTAACTATGCCACATTTTCAAGTCAAAAATAATCCTCCATTAATTTCAGGACTAATATATTTTTCATTTGACAGTTCTACAATTCATTTTGAAAGTTTGAACTTTTAAAAGTATCGAGCGGACAACTTTTGAATTGACGGTTGGTTGACTTTTATTTTGAAAGCTAACCGCTTTCTACCAAAAAGAACCAATGTAAACTTTTAAATCTACCAATGGTTTTTTTAATTTTATAAACGACTTTTCTTTGTGTGTAGTTCAGCTAATCATTTTAATGAGTGTACGTTAACATCGTTGAAAATTGTTTCAATAATTTATAAAGAACAATCATGTAAGATGTATTTTATTGGGAGCGATATTCATCCCAGAAAAAAAACATGCAAAAACAAATGCTTGCTGTTGGATTTCTTAAAAGGCATTTCTATATGACTATTTAATGATTGGGATAGATCTGTTTACAATCTTTAAACGTCAAAAATCAAAGCAAGCTATTACAATGAGATATACATGTTTTCCTATACTGCAAAGTTAAATGACAGTCCAATAGTTTCTACATGTCTATTTACACGCGACATATCAACAAACGTCAAAAATCAGTAAAAGCAACTCCAATAAAAGATACATGATTATCTTATAAGATATATATTTTAGTGAGCAATATTCATCATGAAAACAGGTATATTTTACTGAATTTTCTCATAGTGCAAACTTATATGATTTTCCATTAGTTTCTAGATGTCTGTTCCCACCCATGACATATCAACAGTTTTTCACCATGAAATATATCAGACAATATTCATATACTTCTTACCTTCGCTAACCACGTTCGAAGCAAAGTATTATCAAGTACTAAGTATGTGAAATTACGATAGAAATCATTCCATATCGCAGTCATAGTTTTTAAGTGATAATCCAATGGAATCTATCAATCATCACATAGAATGAATAAATCTGCTGACATTGCTATGTTATAAGATGGATCCAATAAACGGTACATGTCGATTTGTTTCAGTGTATATAGGCGAGGAGGTCGTATGGGGGGAAATGCGGATTTAGAGTAAATTGTAAAAAATACTCGGTCGCTGTCCCATACCAAAATCCAACATGGCTGAATCACGAATTTGACACATTAGAACACCTATGTGTAGTTACCTTGGACGGAGTGAGTTTCTTGGGACACCATGACGTATTTCGGTGTGATGACTGCAAGAAATGTGCAATAATGTTTTTTCCATAGACACAGTGACGTCATATGGCAAATGTCAGAGAAACTATGTATGCGGTATTTGCCTACCATTCTGCAACCAGAGCAACACCGTTGCCATTTTACCCGTGTCTGCCTCGCTGCAGCTCTGCAGGCATCATGCAGCAGCAAAAACTCGCGGTAGCGGCCATCTTTTTCACACTTCCTCTTCTACTTGGCATTCGTTCGTGATCAGTCAAAGTGCGATGTGACGAAACGGCGATAAAATTTATTTTCTTCCCTGGTTTTCTGCATACGTTTTTTAGTTTTATTCGGTTTTCGTTGTTCAAAATTGTTTTAAAGTGACTTAATTTCAGTTTATTGCAAAGTCCAGTGCATCTGCTAGAAAGGTGAGATAAAATTTTAGCCGGAGAAATTGGTTTGTTTACCTTTTCGCAAAACTGGTGGATGCAACAAGTAGATCATGAATAAGTGGAAATCGCCATTTTTCATACTTTCATTCCGTCACTGCTGTAAGTGCTAATGCGGTCGCAGTGTGTAGGGCTTGTGGGGGCGGTCCGCGGTATGGACAGTGTATAGAACTAGGGGTTTACAGTTGAAATACCTTTTTGTGTAATGGTTTCACATTAGGCGCTCTCATGAGCTTTCTTATTCGACTCGCCTTGATCCAGCAGCTCTTGTTAGAAATCTCATATTACTAATCAATATTAACCGTTTTCCGCAGCCACAATGTCCCGGGAAATACAAGTGCACGTTAGGAAGGAAAAAAAGTTCCGCTTAAATGTGTCCGGTGCTACCGAGCAAGATGTGGAGCTGGTGCAGGTCGACGAAAATACCCAGGACACGGAGGGTCTGAATGTCGATTCGCTGGCGGAAGAACATTCCGAACCAAATCTGGTGGCAACCAAGGATGGAAGAATGATTATCGAGATGAAACCAGGCAGGACATGTGAAATTTGCAATGTAACTTTTACATCACCCGAGGTAGGACCATTTTTAAATGCAATTCATCTGAGTTTCTAAGTTTTGTGATTTTTCCCCTGTTGCAGATCTACAAAAAACATACCCAAACATGCCGGGAGAAGATCATCGAGTTCAACGATGTTCTACAAAAGGAGAAAAATGCGGCCATGATTGCCCAGCCGGGTGAAGAGTTTTTCAAGTACTGCAATCCGAATCCAGAGAATCCTTGCTACTGCTGCGGTGAGGACATATCCACAGCTCACGTCGGTCACATCAAGTGTAAACTCTGCCCGAAGTCATTCAAAGCGTATGAATATCTGGAGAAGCACCTGATCTCCATTCACGCCTCAACGGACGATTTCAGCTGCAGCCAGTGCAATGCCAAGTGTCCTTCGGAGAAAGTTCTCAACGACCATATGACAACGCACAGCGAGGGCAAACCTTTCTCCTGTTTGAAGTGTGGGAAAGATTTTACGCGGAAGTATCATCTCGAACGGCATCTAAATCACTCCGGCTGCGGGGAAGTTCCCAAAGAACTACTTCCCTGTGAAGTGTGCGGAAAAGATTTCACACGTTTGGATAACCTACGGGAGCATCTTCGCTTCCACATGGGCGAAGGCAAACGGAAACGTGACTACCAGTGTCCGTACTGTCCTAAAGCGTTCTATGGATCGTCTTTACTGAAGTAGGTTTTTTTTCTCCACTTAAATTCTAAAAATAATTAAATTAAAAAATCATTACTCGCAGCATTCACATTCGTACCCACACCGGGGAGAAACCGTTTCCGTGCGATTTGTGCTCGAAATCATTCCCGTCCACCGGAGCGTTGAGAAAGCACCGTCGATCGCACACCGGCGAACGTCCGTATCGTTGCGATCAGGTAGGTTTGTTCAAAACTGTGTTGCCAAAAGGAGAGTTTACCTAGTGCTATTTATTTCAGTGTTCGGCCACCTTCGCGGCTCGGGAGACGTTGAACAGGCATCGCAAAACCCACACCGGTAAGGACGCTATTCTATATGAAAAACTTATTTGCAACAATACCCCATGTAGGTAGATACTCTACCCAAAAAAAAACCGGTCCACTTTTGTTGCCAATCCAGTGGTGGAAGTCAAGCGTTTATTCACTACGCAGTCTAAAGTGAACAACGAAAAGCTCACTTTTGAATTTCTCATTAATTCGAACTCAAATTTTCCCTCACAGCGCTAGTTTACCCCAGTAGTCCGATCATGGTTTGATTTACGGATGTCCGGTTTTGGGCATTCCACTAAACGGAAACGGAAAGTAGGTAGTTCGATTAGTGTGACACACGGTGTGACATACCGACTTTGAGACTGGATTTCCGTTCCATTTTCCCATTTCGCTAAGCCGTCCTTTGGATTGTCCTTCTTACCCACCAACAAGGTTGCCGCCATTCGTTTGCTATATAAAAATGTTTTTCGGCATTACCAACAAGCGCCAATCTTCAGGCTTTGTACCGCGGACTTCACCCACTACACCACAGTATCCGAATGGCACCACTCAACTAACCGCGAAGCCCGTTAATAGCCCGATAACGGCCCTATTTTTGCAATACAAGGTTGACATACGGCTTTCAATTTTTATATTAGCCTATTAGGAACCAATTGTTGCTGCCAGAAATCGTGCCGCTCATTATTGCGAAGCTGCTAAAGAGATACAGGAATCCAGAAATCCAGAGTTGTTACAGCTGGCGCGTATTTCGAGCGTTTTTACAGCTCTGGCGCCGATTTTGCGGAAAGCTTAGCACAGAAAATGAAACCATTGATATGATAGTATTTTTCAACTATCAATTCACTTTTTATTCAAGTGATCATACCAACTATTAAAAATCGATCGTTCAGCAAGTTTCTGATATTTTAATAATAATAACACAGTGTTACAAATCAAAAGAAAAATGGATGAACTTTTCAAGTGACTTGCTGTAAGTTATTAGTGTAGTCGAGTACACATGAAATCACATTTGAAATTGTTTTAACGCTACCGCATACAATCATGAGTAACTCAATCATTCTTTACCGATTTTTGTTGTCCAATTATATACACATTTATGGCGATTTTACTAAAGTTCTTTGAGCTTTTTTTTTCTTGATAAGTTCTCAAGAACGCCTACGACAGCGGTCTGCACACCGAGATAGTATCGCTCGACACATCGAAGGCCTTCAACAGAACGTGGACGCCCCTCGTCCTTAAGCAACTAATCGACTGGAGTCTTAACGGACCCATCGTTCACTTCATCCAGAACTTCTTGTCCAACCGTTCATTCGTAGTCGCAGTCGGCAACACGAAATCCCCGAGGAAACGGGTGTCCCACAAGGATCGGTTATCGCCGTTACCCTGTTCCTCGTGGCGATGAACGGAGTCTTCCGTCAACTACCGAAAACATATATGTGTTCGTTTACATCTACATCCTCATCATGACAGGGTGTCGACTACCTGAAAAAAAAAACCTGGAAAATCAGGGAATATCGGGGAATTCCTTTTTGGACCTGGAAAATCAGGAATTGTCAAGGAATTACATTCAAAGTCAGGGAAATATTTCTAACAGAAACGTATTAATAAGTATGACTGACTTCGCTAGTTTCACACAACTTAATTACTCGTCGTAGTTTGAGGACGGTTTTCAAATTAATTTGCTCGATCCAGCTGAGTCCAAAAAAAAAATCAATCCCTTGAGCGCATTGGAGCGCTTTTGAGCAAATGCAAGAATGATTAAGAGTTAAACTGGGCTTAGACAAGGCAAGTCATTGATTGAACTCAGTTGAATTGAATTGGCTTGAAAAGTTGAGCCTGGTTCAAATTTTTTCAGTTCAAGTCAGTTAAATGGCATAGTTTACACGTTCAAGTCAGTTGAATTCAACTGAGTTGATCAATTGACTTGCCTTGTCTAAACCCAGCTTTAAGAGAAGATAATGATTTTTTTTCTGAATATTTCTAGTTCTTGTTCCTTATTGTGTTCTTAACAGCTTGATTAGCTCAGAGAACTAACTTAATGACAATTTAGGATAATGGTCTTGCTTGGGAGTTTTATTAGATTGGTTGGAGTAGCACTTTTATGATTGATTAATGATTCGAAGATACGTAGACAAGCATTGCTTTGACAACATAGAGTAGCTGTATTAAGTATTCGAGGTCTTCATTGTAAAACTGGTTAGCCCGTAAAATTAGCTTCACAGTAAAGTTTTAGTATGGTAATGTTGCTGCTATTTCAATTTAGATGGAATTAAGTTACAGAATTTGGGAGATGAAAGCGTCGTTTTCAATGCAGAGTGACCAGTGAACCGGGAAAACCGGAAAAAGCTGGAATTTGAAGTCACCGGGAAAATCCCATGAATTTAGTTGACACATCTGGAGAAATATACGTCGTCCTCTCTTCGAAAACAATACGATTTCAAGACCCTTGGACTGGTCTAGATTTTCAGGATAACTACAGTCACTCTGAAGAACTATTAAGAGAATTTTAGATTTTTTTTTTCCAAACCAAATTTGAGCAGGTTTTAGAATGAATTCTAGAGATAAGGTAGATATAGGTATTTCAAAGAATATTTTCTAGGGAGCTTCAGGAAAACCTCTAGGAGAGTTTTTACTAGATCTCCCAAGAGTGAAGAGGATTTAAGGATTCTTGAAAACTAGCAAGGAACGCGAATTTTGATGGTACAATTCCAAAATAATTATGCGTAGATCTATAGGGATAGTCCGAGTATAATTCCAAGCGCATTTCGAAATGAATTTCTCGAGAATGTTAATGAGAATTCCATGCAATTTTCAGAAGAATTTAGAGGAGAACTCCAAGATAATTCGGAGCAAAATTTGAAGCTCCAGTTAATTCTTAGAAAGAGTTTATAATGCGAAGAAATGATGAATTTTAAGAATTTTTGGGAGAGTTCTACAGAGAATTTCTGAGATTTGCTGGTCACCATGAAGATGATTTTGAGATTTAGATGAATTTATGCCCCTAGGGTAGAATGCGGATCCTTCCCGTTTTTGGCAACACGAGATTTATGTCTTTTTTCCATTCTTCATGGGTTAGAGGTCCGTGTGGTATTTCATGAAAAAATTTCCATAAAGCACTAATATATTCTGAGGAAAGTTATAGCTGATGGGGTTGTGTTGCCAAAACCGGTTAGGCACTGCACATGGAATGTTTTTTTTTTTTTGAAAATTACTGGAAAATCAGGGAATATCAGGGAATTTTGTTTTGTTTGTTGAGTCGACACCCTGCATGACCACCGGACCCACGCCAGTACGTACAAGGATGAGAGCCCAAGCGGCAGTCTCCGCCGTCGCCAGGTGGACCCGCTCAGTAGGCTTCGAATTATCAGCCTCTAAAAGTATCAGGTGCCATATCTGCCCTTCTCGACACAGAATTAGCGGACCACCGATCAAAATCGACGACCAGTCCATACCGCTGAAGAAGACCGATTCCTCAACTTTGAACAGCATTTCAGTGCAGTCAAGAAAAATTGCCGCAGCCGAGTGAATCTCATCCGGACCATTTCCCGACAGCACATATCGAACAACCGCAGCATCCGTTTTCACGTTGCGAGTGCATTATCGACAGTCGCCTCCTATACGGGCTGGAGATGATCTGCATAGCAACGGATAAGCTTTTAACTACGTTAGCACCAGTCTACAACACCTACGTCTGGATTGTCTCTGGCCTTCTGCCATGCACGCCCGCTGACGCGGCGTGCATCGACGCGGGCATCATGACTTTCCGCTTCCGTATAACCGCAGCTATCGCAACCAAAGACATCCGGAAATCAAAAGATCTTCGACTCCTCCGCAAGGCTACCAACGAAGATCTCCCCCAGTGGCCAGGGTCTACTGGCATGAAGACAAATGCTGGCAAACACCTTTACCGTCAATCGAAAGACGGATTAAGGACAGGTTCAAAGCCTGAGACAATTCCGTGGCCATGAAAAGGACTGTAGCTGAAATGTTAGGAGAAAAAAAAATACCCCACGCACACACACCGATACACGGACGGATCTCGCTCTCGGGGGTCGGTATCGGTCTAGCCGAAAACATCACATCAGCTTACCGCCGCAATGTTCTGTCTTCTCTACTGAAGCTGCAGCCATCTTTATTGCTGCTACAACGCCCTCGGACCGACCGATCGTGGTCCTCACGGAATCACACAGCGTCATACAAACCCTGACATCCGAGGCCCCGATTCATCCCTGGGTACAGACGACGATGAAGTCCGAGTCACCAAAAACGGTATTCTGCTGGGTTCCGGGGCACTGCGGAATACCAGGCAACTCTGAAGCTGACTTTCTGGCTGGGGTAGGACCATCTGTCCCTCGCTATACCAACGAAGTACAAAAAGTATGGAAAGCTTGTGACACGGAGTGGGCCCAAAACCACTCCCTCTTCATCAGACGGATCAAAGGGACGACGAGGAAGTGGACAGAATCGTTGAACCAGCATTAGCTTTAAGAGATCGAGCATTCCAATTCAAAATATTTAATGATTTAAATTCGATTACTGTGAATGACTGACCATCAGCTGGAAATGAATCTGCCGGAATCTGCGCACGGCTTACCTCCATGGTGGTTGGTGATTGAATGACACGAGAATGCAGTGTCCAGTTCGTTGTCCTCGCAACGCTCATCATGGCTGACTACGAGTCCCTGCGATAGTGCTGAATGTTCAGCACACTGCACGGAGAAGCATTGTGTGCTCTTTGCACCCACACAATTACTAAATTTCAAAGTCATGACGATACCTAACTCCAGTATGAGTAGCATCAAACATGAAGTTAGTTTTTAGCATATCTAGCATATAGTACTCACGTCGATTAATGATTTATGTAAAAAATTCCATTTTAGGAGCAGTCCGTTAGAATTATGATGGTTAGAATTTTGAGTTCGATTGCCACCAGCTGCAATAGCAGCATAGGTAGAGTTCCATTTAATAGCTGAACATTGTTAGCAGTAGGTATGGATGAAGAATTTGAAGCAGGAGAGCTGTTCGTAC